GAGACGCAGATGACCAACAAGCCAAAGGGTGTCAACGTCTAAGCATACTGCCAAAAACTCATCAAAGCTTCAACTTTGTGTTTGAAAACCCTAATTACTGATATCCACCTCAACTATCTAGTCGATCATTTATTTCTGTCATCTTGAACAGCTAATTCAAGCGTGTTTTATAATGAGCTAACCGCAATGTAACATCCATAAACTGATTATTTAATAAAATCTGAAAAATAAACTTTTTTTAATTTTTTATATAATTGCAATGACACGTAAGCTTAAAAGTAAAAGCAAAAAAGTTATTAAACAATAATCTTAAAGTCAAGCCAGACCAGTGTCTCCTCGGCGATAATCTCTCAAATAAAAAGCCCGTTTCCCATTTTCGTTTGAACAAAACACAAAGAAAAAGTGCTCGTAAGTGTCGCGCCATAAAATAACCACTTTTATGATTACAAAAAAGTAAACTGAGATAATAAATAAAGGTAAAAAATAATAGAGCCACTGACCAGAAAAACTTAGTTAATCCTCAGCTCATCACTCACTTGNGATAGAGGTAAAAAAAATAATAGAGCCACTGACCAGAAAAACTTAGTTAATCCTCAGCTCATCACTCACTTGGTTCATTAAACGCTCCAGAATGGCCAAAGAAAAAACACCCGCTTCAGTAAAAGACGAAGTTAAAGTGAAAAATAAAAAAGAAGCAAAAGTAAACCAAAATCAAGCTAAAACACCTGAAAGCAACTTCAGTACCACTCAGCTGTTTATTTTAGTGCTAATCCTTTCAATTGCTTTTAACTGTTACATTCAGTGGAAAAAGTCAGAAAAGACTCAAAATGGAGCAAATGATGAAAAGTTAACGTCTCTGGAAAAAGAGTTAACAGAGAAAAGGGAACTCATTGAACTGTTTAAAAAAGAGCAAATTGAAATTGTAAACATGGTAAGTCAAAACGATTTTCATTTACCTAGAATCAGTCAAAACTAAACTAATTTTTTAAACAGTTTTCAATTTATAAGATCGTTGAAATTGCTAAGTCCTCAGAACCTGTAGTTCGTTATGCCTCTAACGAAACTCGAGCAGCGCTGATAATCAAAGTTGCCAAGAACGTTCTTTCCAAGCCCTACTACTCCTGTCAGAAAAGCATTCCAGTAGAAAAGTACGATGAGTACAAGAACTGCTTCAGAGACTTGGCAATTGAGCTGCACAATCAACTGGAGACCAAACTGCCAGACAGTCACTTATTTGTGGCAGCTGGTCGAGTTCACTACTCCTTCATGGTCACCACGATGAGCTCAAAGCGGTCAGAGTACTTTATTAGCTTTGGTGATATCCTCTTTGAACTCCTAGAGTACAGTGAACTGATTAGCGAGCCAAGAGCTGAAGAGCTGAACACCGTTGCTGAGCCGATCGCAGAAGAGACCTTTGAAACTCAAGCTAATAGGACGCTGGTCGACTAGCTGATTTTAAGGGCAGACTACTACTTTTCTCAAAGCAAATGCGTGTGAAAGAAATAAAACTTAATAATAAAAAGTTGCTTACCACAGTAATAAGTTCACTTGCGAGAATTATCTTCAAGTGGATAAGTTTTTTTTCAAAGTTAAAATCCGCCAGTCGCTGAATAAGTTGAGAACCACCGCCGCAAAAGTTGAGACTGAACTCGCGTACAGCCGCCTCAGTGCGGCTGCTTTTACCGACTCTAAACCGGTGGCGCTTGGCCAACAAAACGAAGAGGGGGAATGAGTTCTTTAGCAGCGTGAGACAGTGAAATATTACAAGGTCGAATAAAGAACGATATTTTTTTCTGTTTGTTTACCTTTTCGTCTTGATCTATGCTAACTTTGCTAATCCTTCAATCTATAGTAAAATAAATAAAAAACCAAAAAAATATTTTAATGTAATGTAACATTTTTTAAATATTTTCCAGTTAGCATGAATGATATTAATGTTATACAAAAATATAAATACCGTAGAGAAAGTAGTTGTATTAGGGAAAAGAATATATAATATCTAGAAAAGAGAGATCGAGAAGAAGGGAAAGCAATGTAGAGGAGATGATGATTAAGACGATACAGGTTAAAATTAAAAGACTACAGAAAGCCCGTTCAGATGATCACAATGCAGATGACTGGTATTCGGTGCAACTCCCCCCCCCCCCCCC